AAGGGAGGCCGGGCTGTGCCCGTGTCGCCCGGGCGACGAGGGCCGCGCGGAGCCGCTTCTTCCCAGCTAGGCGCCGCGTGGACGCGCGTCCTCGCCTCGGCCGCCCGCGTTTCTCCTCCACGGACCGGGGTCTGAAGGGACGCGCCTGCAAGGGCGAGGCGAGGCCCGGGTCTGGTGAAGCCCGCGCGGTAAGCGCTGCTCGGCTGCTGTCGAGCCGAGAGGGCGGTTCTGGTTTCCGGAGGCCGGTGTGGAAAGCCGGCGGTCCCTGGACTTGTTTCTTGGGCTGGGAAGGTGGAAGATCTCTGAACTAGTTAGATGAAGCTGAGTCCTGGCAGGTGGGCATGTCTGCGCGTGAGCAGCTGCAGATTTAAAGTGAGGTCTGATTGCACAGAGGATTTTTGCATTCCAGCCAATGGATCGAAGGAGCTGTGCCTACGGAGTTTAGGAAGACTTTACCCGGTACTTAGGATACTGTTTCTGCCCAAACGCTGCCCTCCGACTCACACCAGTGTTCATTTTACAGGCATAATGGTTATGAAAGCTGCGGTGGATGAGGACGATTCAGGGTGGGAGCTAAGTGTCCCTGAAAAGATGGAAAAAAGCAGCACAAGTTGGGTGGACATAACCCAGGACTTTGAAGATGCTTGTCGAGGTAAGTTTGAATTTTTGGACTATTGCTTCAAAGTCTGGGACAGGATAAAGTAAAATCATATTTGTGTTTTCTCAACTTTACCTTTTTTTGTAGAAAAAAAAAAAGCGAAACAACCCTGTGGTTTTTAATTTGTGGTCGTTTTGTTTGTTTTTGAGAAAGTCCTGTAGCCCAGGCTGACAAGGAAGTCTCTGCTGTGGAGGATGACCTTGAACTTCTGCTCGTCCTGTCCTCGCTGAGATTGCGCACATCTCAGGCTCAATCTTGTTGAGCTCTTTGCTCTCTGATTTTAAGTTTGGTTTAAAGCCTGTGTGTATTTGGTAAAACATTAAATACAGATGTCGAGGCATGTTTTAAAGAGATCTTGGTTTATGTGTTTGTATGTACACGTGTGTGAGGGTGCAAACACCTGTGTGCACGTGGATGCCAGGAAAAGGTATTGTTGGATCCCTTGGAGATGTGGTTACAAGTCTTTTCTGGAATCCTGGCTTATGCTGGAATTCCAAACTCTCTGATCCTCGTAATTAGCACCAAATGCTCTTAACTGCTGAGCCATCTTTCCAGCTCCAAGGAACTTTTCCCCCCTCTAAATCCTTCTAACTTTAACAGGCTAGATAATGGCCAGGTGTGGAAATGCACTCTCTCAATCCCAGCAATCCAGAGGCAGTGCAAGGCCAGCCTGGTCTGTACAGTAAGTTCCAGGCAAGCCAGGGCCACACAGTGAGAGTGAGACCCTGTCTAACCAGAGAGAAGAAGAAAAGAAAGACACCGATGTAACCATTATGTCTGGCTGTGCGAGCACTTGCTGTATTGGGCTAAAGAATTGTTGCTTATGGAGGTCTAAACATGATCCCATCCTGCCACTCTCAAGATCCTCAGCTGGCTTCCTCTTGGAGTAAAGTTCAGACTCCTTTCCAGGGTTCCCTTACTTCGTGCCCAGGTTTTATTTTCTGCCTTTTCTCTATCCTTTCCCGCCACCCTCCTGTCACTCAGCGCCAGGCTGCCTTGTCAGAGCTTGGTGAGTCTTGTTTACTCCACCTTAGCTTACTTTTATCAGACCCTCACGTGTTGAGTCACTTCTGTGTTGTTTGTTACCTTATCCATGAAGAGTTCAGAAGGACAGCTGTAAGCCATTCAGCTAAGTGTATCTCAGCGGATCACCATGTTTTACTTCCTTCAGTGTTTAATCTGTCAGAAGCCATGATTGTAGTTATTTGTTGCTTATTGTCAGCCTTACCTACCATGAGGAATTTTGATAAGGGCAGAGATAATGTATAACCCTAGACTATAGAGCTGTGTATGGCATGTAGTAGCGCCTGTGTTTGGGAATAACTGGGTTTAGTGGACACACGTGTAGTCCAAGCTACTCCGATGTTCTTATCAGGAGGATCACTTGAAGCCCAGAAGCTCCCTCGGAGAAACGTAACTTCCTTCTATAACAAATAAGCACCCCTCTCAGCAGTGTCTAGAAGTAAGTGATTGTAGATATGAGCGGGTCTGTTGTTGAAGGGAGAGACTGAAGAATGAGAGGAAGGAACAAGCACCAGGGAAAGCTTGAATTTCAGGAGAAGGATGGGTTCAAGATCTTGGTAGTGAGGGAAAACGTAGGATATACTGGTGCTGGGGTAAGAAAAAGACAAAAATCTGGTTAAGGTGAAGATAAAGGAAAAGTGGTAAGCTCAGATATTAAGGAGTTCATTCCTGATCCCTCTGCTTTCTAGGGCCAGGTCTTTGGTAATAATAAGGTGTCTTTGAATACTGCTTTGAAGGAGAGGTGTGAGACTGGTGCGGCACTAGCTGTGAAGGAGACCAGCTGAGCATAGCCATCCCATTACGGTTTGAACTGCATGTCCAGTTGAAGTGTGTCTCAGGTCGTGGAGGGACCTATGTGTGCTGCTGTATGTCTACCAGGAAACCTGTATGTATGTGGTAGTCTTTATGCTCAGAGATCTGGGTGATCACATGGCTCACATGTGTCATTGGGTGCTGGTTTTGTTTTGTCTTTTAAAATAATTTGTATTAGAGAGCTGTTTTTATGAACCTAAGTAGGGAAGTTGTATCTTAAAGGAAAGGCCACATATCTGTCAGTGAAGATGAGGAAATTACCCTAGATTGAGGTAAACCATTTGAGCCAGAGTTCATTGAGAATTTTGTGTTTTGGTGATACCCAATAATTCCACTTGGCTAGAGAACAATTTTTAGGTGAGACTCTTGAGTGCCATTCTTTTTGTTTTGTTGGTGTGAGATGGTTTTCTGGGCAGTACGGAGGGTTTTGAGCCTGAGACTGAGAAAGTAGTCTTCTTGATGTATTTTTAAATGTTTAATGCACTAATTTAACATTTAGCATTCAGAATAGCAAGTTACTTTATCACACTTGTATACATGCTTAGTTAACCTCACTACCTACCTCTCCTCCTTTCTTGTCTCTTCTGTTCTGTTGCCCCCCACACCTCCTTTTTTTAATGCCTGCTTCTGCCCTTCTGTGGCTCCGTTTCTAGTTCCATGACCTCCACGCACTTCCTCAGAAACACATTAAAATTGGAAGCTGGGATCCCCATGTGAGACAATACATGTTGTTGTTTCTGCGGAATACGAAAGAGACCACGAGGTACAAACAAACCCACGTGTAACTTTATTACAGGGAAGGGGCGTGGGGACAGTGCAGACTGGAAGCAGGAAGGGGAAAGGAGGAGGGGGGTACCACGGCTCTGCCTTTTAAAGACCAATCCAGCGTACACGTGCATCTGCATCTGTGTTGGATTGTGGGTGCATGTGTTTTTGGGAAATGAAGTCTTTTGAGTCAGGCGGACCACACTTGACTCTGCGCCTGCACATAGGGGTCTCCTGGGAAATGCAGTTCCCCAGGAGAATAACCATACATGTGGCATTTGTCTTTCTAAACCTGAATTTCCTTATATAGTTTATTTTTTGCTTTCATCCATTTTCATATAAATTTCATTTTTTCCTTCTAGAATTAACCCATCTCCATTATTTTGTATTTTACCACCAGACTTGTGGCCTACCAGCAAGGTTTCAACATCTATCTCTTGCAGCGCCATGGCTTCTCCCTGATTCCACCCTTCTTTCTCCCAGCATTCAGTTTTCCCCGCCTAGCTAGGATCTGCGCTGCTATAGGTCCAGAGCAGTTTCTTTATTCATTAATGGTAATCACAGCATACAGAGGGAAATCACACATCACCAGAAGGTTGTTGTTTAAGGGTTCTGAGAGAAAGGACCAGGGGATCAGAAAATGGAGATAGAAAAGTTGGTCTCTGAAGGTCTTGCACAAGGTAGGTCTTATGTCAAGCAAGTTTATTACAAAGTACAGCATCTTATATACAGTTTGCTGGGGGGAAATGAGACAGTCAACAGGAAAGTAACTGAGCAGTGTTACTCAGAGGAACACAGGATAGCTCAGGTGCGCCTCAGCTCCAAGGTTCCTTGAGATTGATGACCACAGCCCTTCAAAGAGTGGGAAAATGGAGTTCCCAGGATCCAAAACCATAGCTCTCCAATGGCCCTGGTCCCAGGCCATTACTGACCTTGCTTAAGCGTGTTCCTGGTTTTAGACAAGGAACTACGTTCCTTCTCATATTAGGGCTTCAGGAAAAGTCCTGGGACTGAACTCACCCTCAACATACATGGCAGGAATAGAGATAAAGTAATAGAGAATAAATAAGAAATCAAAAGGGTAATTATGGAATGGGTTTGCTGGAACAGCTGTGCTGATCTGAAAGGTGAAGTTCTTGGATCCCTCCAGCCCTAGCAGGCTCCACTTGGTGCCGTGTGAAGGAACTCTTACAGTTTCTACTGTGTTCCCTCTGGCAGCGTCCACTTCAGCCCCCCACCTCATCCCCACCCAGCATTCTTCATTGTTCACCTGTGATTTGCCAGAGCAAATAACCCAAAGTCAACCTTTAAACTTATTAACATGTTTTATCAGTAGTTCCTGTCCTATATCCAAGCATTGGCATCACTTAGGCTGCTTTAGAAGCATTGTTGGAGTCCCACTTTGGGGTTTGACTGATTTGGAGTGATAGATGAAGGTCAGGTTTAGGACGATCTCTGATTCATTTTAAAACTCAAATTTGAAGACTGCCGCCCCCCCCCCCCCCCCACATACACGTCTCTGCTGCCTTCTCTCACTCCCTTCCTCTGTGCTGGGATGGAGTACTAGGTGGGAACACTGGGTGACTGCTCTACCACTCACCTTCATCTTCATCTCATGAACACCGTGTGGATTAGCAGTTTACTCAAAGTGTTTTGTACAATTAAGTAAATTTGAATCTTTAAATGTGATTTTAACATTGTTCCTCTCACAACAAAGACTAGATGATGACGTGGTCTTAAAACAACCAGAGAGGCAGCAGTTGTTTCTGTGAAAAAGTTTAGAACATGGTAAACTATATTAGTAACTTTAAAAATAATTTTTAAATTTATAATTTTTATTGGAATATTAAGAGGGTTCTTGGCTTGTTAATTTTCAGTCTTTTTTTCTTCTAGTCATCTACTTTATAATGTTCTTGAAAGCACCATTTTAACAGAGCGGACAGCAGTCCTTAAAGAATGCATTTTAGTAATCAAGCTGGTTTGCTCTTAGTCTTGAAACTTGAACCTAATTGTGGTATTATTACTCAGTAATTTTTCACTTTCTTTCAGAGCTGAAGTTGGGAGAACTGCTTCATGATAAGCTGTGAGTGTCGTGTCCTTTGAAAGAGTGTAATACTTTAATCTTTTTTCTTACATAGACTAGTTCTTGAAGTCCAAGTAAAGTTATGCTTCAAAGCTGTTAAAATGAGTTATAAATACAATTTCCACTTGGGTGAGCTATCTTAAGTGGCTGACCTGGTTAAGACAGGAAACATGAGACTGTGGGATCCTTTTTATGAAGTTGAATATATTCAACATGGGATTTCTTGAAGAAAACTATCAGGTATATGTCTAGTGTGGTAGATTTATTAATGACTAAATGCTTGTGCAGAAGAAAATTGAAGATTTCCAAGTGAAACAAGAAAAGGAAGTACTGGCTTATTTATTTTTTCTGTTTATTCCCCCACTGTGCTAGAAACATGCTGTGGCCAGACTGCTTCGGGGTGAGGACTATAAAATCTTGAATTAGCAAGTAGATAAAATTAGACAGTTTTTGCTGGAGGAACAAGAAGAGACTTATTTTGTTCTTAAAACCTTAGCATGCAAAGAATCATCTAGAATCTTTACAAATACCTGCTAGATCCAAGTTGCATGTCCTAAGTCTGCTTGAGAACAGAGTATGAATTTGCAGCAGCTTCTCTTAGGTGAGATAACTTGCCAATCCACATTGAGAGCTATCCTAGTTAGGGTTTTTCTTGCTGTGAAGAGACCATCATGACCATGGCAACTCCTAGAAGGAAACCATTTAATTGGGGTTGGCTTACAGTTTCAGAGGTTCAGTCCATTATCATCATGGTGAGGAGCATGGTGGTAGGCAGACGTGGCGCTGCCTGCATCTTGCCTTACAGGCAGCAGGAAGTCGACTGAGACCTTGGGCAGTATCCTGAGCATAGGAAATCTTAAAGTCCGGTCCCACAGTGACACGCTTCCTCCAACAAGGCCGTATCCACTGCAGCTAAGCCACACGTCCTAGTAGTGCCGCTCCCTGTGAGATTATGGTGGCCAATTGCATTAAAACCACCACAAGAATTTAGAATATTCTGCAGTTGCTTTTCCTTTATAGCTTGTAGATTATCAGGGAAGAGGTTTTGTTTGCTTGTTTTGCAGGTTTAGAACTTATATCTGATTTGTTTTTCTCAAATTATATAAACATACATTTGCATTTTCCCATGTGATGATTTTTCTCAACAGTGTTGACTGGTGTTTTCACTAGTGTGAAATTCCTTCTTTTTGGTAATTTCCATAGAATGAATCTGTTATAGATACCTAGAATGTGTTCTAGATATTTTTATTTATTCTTAGTTTATAGCATTCTCCAGTAGTTGATGAAGCTAAATTGTGCTATATTGTTTTTGTTGACAAAATTCTCTTGCATTCTTGGGTGCTTTCCTTTTTAACTTCCAGTACTCTTTGAAAAGGTACTGTTTTGGCCAGTCCTTTTGGGCTTTGGTCAGCAGTCATCTAATGTGTGTGAGAGAGTTGTCTTTGCTGTACTATGAGCAAATGCCAGAGCATCTTAACCTAAGCATCACATTAAGGTCATGGCAGGACGTTTGTGCCCATGGAGTTTAATTTGTTCTTTTAGAACTGGGAATTGAACACAGGCTTTTGCCTCTGAGTTACATTACTAGTCCTTAAAAGCTCTTTTTTATGTCTTTCTGATGGGTTTCGTATATGTGTGCTGCCAAAACAAGCCCTCTATTGATTTTATTTAAGAGAAATCATTTAGAGTGATGGGGTGTTCCAAGGAGAGTCTGCTTGTTTGTCCTAACCTCTTTTAGTTTAAAAAAAATGAACTATGGATGTTCTTGGGTTTTTTTGTTGCTGTTGTTGTTGGTTTTTTTGTTTGTTTGTTTTGTTTTTTTTAAGAGGGGGAAGTAGTGTGGGACCATAGTCTGTATTCTGTCAGTTATATTTTAAATAAATGCGGACTGGCCAGTAGCCAGGCAGGAAGTAGAGGCGGGTCAAAGAGAACAGGAGAATTCTGGGAAGAGGAAAGCCCATTCCTCCACACTCCTAGCCCAGCCACAGAAGAAGCAAGATGTGACTGCCTCACTGAAAAAGGTACTGAGCCATGTGGCTGACATAGATAAGAATAATGGGCTAATATAAGTTATAAGAGTTAATAAGAAGCCTGAGCTAATGGACCAATCAGTTTATAGTTAATGTAGACCTCTGTGTGTTTTCTTTGGGACTTAACAACTGCGGGAACCGGGCAGGACAGAAACCCTGACTACAAATGACGCCCACGTGGACAACTGCATCCACAAGAAGCCTGAGAGCTTGGGAAGTTATTATAGACAGAAAAGAATAGAGTTTAAGCGTGGCTTATTGGTAGTAGCATTTTCT